AGGTTTAAATTGGTTTTTAATTTTTATATAATTTAATATTTTGTGCTCTGGACTTACACTGGTTTCCAGTTTCTAGTTACTAATATAAAAATAAGCATGCATTTATTACAAATTATGTATTGCATTATTTTTGATTATTTTTTACAATGATCAGATGATAACTATTGTACAATAAAGAATCACATAACTGGCAAATCTATTATTATTTTTGTATTCTTGTGTTATAATAGAACTTCAAATGATGTTTTAGCAAAAAAAAAATTTGTACAATTTAGAACTTAAAAGAGCTCTAGTTTTTTTGTTGCTGCCAAACCAGTATACTACAAGAGTAGTAAGTTAGATACATAATTTTAGTTCTTTTCTGGCTTTTTACACCAATAAAAGCAGTGGAGCTATTGTATTTGTAAAAATTAGAAAATGTTTGTTATTTAACTGTTAGCATGAGCCAACCCAAGTAACGATTTTAAATTGAGCTACCTATTTTTACTATTTAATTTTTATTAAAGTATATTTTTATTAAAAAAATCAAAGATTATTTAATAATTAGGTTTTTTTTTTTTATATGTAGAAGCTATAGTTTGGTACTAGAGGTTAAGTAAAAGTACTCTATTCATGTGACTGTTAATAAAAATGTTGGCTTGAATTCATAAAAATCAGTCAATTAAGCACTAGTTTAAGGTAATTTGGTTTGACAAGCTAAAATTCAAAACTTTTGGGCTTGATAGTAAATTATACTATAAAAAACATCTTGAGAAATTATCAATTTGCTTCTACATTTAAGTTTTGGGATAGATTTGTGAAGATATAGTTTTATATTATATTTTGTAGTATTAATAGACTTTACAAATTCAACTATACAATGAATATTAAATTAAACTAATAGATATTTTATTAATATTTTATAGATACAATTAAAGATCATGAATTTGCTATTTAATATAATAATTTTAAAGTAAAATAATAAAGATAAGTATAACACAATAGTTACAAAGCATTAGTTTAGAAATAATTAGACAAAGATTTTTAATTGGCATTTTATCTTCTAAACTTGAATCTTTTAAATATTTGTAGATCAAGATTAACTATTAGCTTGGAGATATTTTCAAGTGAATAAAACCCTTAATGCAAGATCTAGATAACCTAGTTAAAAATCAAAATTAGAACCCATATTATTCAATTCCACCTAATACCAAAACAAGCTTGTGAGGCTATTAAAGCACAAGGTGGATATACCATGTTGTGACGGCAGTGTATAAAATCTCACCTCAAAAATGTGTGCTCAATAAGCACATTGCATGCTTAATTTATGTGAATAATTTTAAAAATTAGTGCACTATAAATTTTTATAATATTATAAAACATTTATATAAATATTTATTTAATTTATATATATAAAAATAGACCGTGCTCCATGTGCACATAGTTAAGATTTTATTAATAAATTTGGTGCACTATGTGGCTAGAAATCTTGTGAATTTCGTGCATATTTCTAGCTAAAAACATGTGAAAACTTTTAAAAACATGTGCTCATGAACACATTGTGCACATAGATTTTATACACTAGTGACGGGCATAAAATATTTAAATAGAAAAAAATTTTTTTTTATATATAAAAAATTTATTTTTGTTTTATGTTCGTGTTGTGTTTAAAATGAAATACAATACGTAATTTTAAATAAAGCTCATGCTCATAAAAAATCTACTTTTTTTAATACATTCTAAGATTTTTTTGTATAAATGCTATCTCTTAATTGGTAGAGATACGGTTATGGATTACTTTCAGTCGCTGGTTAGAGATGAAAGAGCCGATTGTAAGAAAGGATATGCGTCGTCATCTTCGTTCAAATGGATAAATTCTAAGATTTTGGTAGCACTGAACCTTAGTGTGCACGTGATTGACCGATTTGATTTAACTGGTGATGCGATGACGTGATTATTGTGAGATACATTATGTCATCAAACATGAATAATCAGTACGTAGGGATATTAATCAGTCCCGCAGTAATTGCCAGCCGACTTTGAGCAAGATTTATAAAAAATTGGCATTTTTAACCGATATTCATCTAATAAATAAAGTCATAAAAAAATAATTTTTCTGTAACATTTTCTAATAGAAGTTTATTGGTTTTTGCATTAGCTCTTGAGTAATTTGATGTGGCCGATTAGGGACCGAACAGTGTGGAGAAAATTTAGTTAGTCGGTCCCTAATTGGTCCCATCCAATTACTCAAAAACCGATAAACTTTTATTAGAAAATGTTACAGAAAAATTATTGTCGCAGCTGATGCTAAAAACGGCTGATGCTGAAATTTGGGATCTCTATTTAATCTATAATACCTACTAAAATCCACATATACTTTTTTATTAATAAAACTACCCTAACCTAACTATGAAAAAAAAGTGTAAAAAAAAGGCCCAAAAATTTTTTATAATTTTATAATAAAATATGAAAAAATTTCAGCATCAGGCATCAGCTGCGACAATTATTTTTATATGACTTTATCTATTGGATGAATATCGGTTAAAAACGCCAATTTTTTATGAATCTTGCTCAAAGTCGGCTGACATTTACTGCGGGACTGATTAACATCCCTAATAATCAGTAACACAATCTACTTTTCCCACAATATATATGATAGTTTCGCCTTTCACCTTTCCATTTTGCATTGAATATTTTACTTTCAAGTTGGTTAGATAATTTGCAAGAACAATGGATGAGACAGCTAAAAATGGAATTCATCGAACCTTTCAGGTATTTTTTACAGAAAAGGAAGAAGGTTAATTTTCGACCGGTATTAATGATTACGGTTTGGGACGTCATATGTCTTCTATGGACATACCACATAAGTCAGCCTCCCCAGAGAACGACGCTCCAAGGCCAGACTGCATATCTGATGAAGATGTTGGAGCTTCTTGTCGACAAAATTTCAAGGATGGAGATGAATATGTTGGCCCGCCCATCCACAGTAAACCTCACATTTTCAACCCGGAAAGGGAAGATTGCAAGATACATGTTCGGGGCATCGATTCGTTGTGGGACAGCAAAAACGAAACAAATGAGAGAGCTAATATACGAAAAAAACAAACAGGCATTAGAGATGAGAGTGAAAATGATGCCAACATTGTTTTCAAGTGTCCCAACCAACAAAGAATTCAAGAACTGCAGTCAACCTTGGGGCAACTGCTCCGAATCGGTGCCCTGGAGGGCTCTGCATGGACAGAGAAACCCCCGAAGACGCCGTGTTGTCTTGTATTTCCAGATGATCAATCTGAAAAAAAATCCGAAAACTCATACCTGTATTATGTGTCAGCTGGTAGTGGACTCAATGAATCATCATGCAATAATCCGCTTATTGTAGTCGAAAAGATCATGAGCGAATCCGATTCTTTTCGTGTTGCAACTTCTCTTCACCTTAAGCTCCAAAGCGAAAGTCCTCAAGATGATGTTATTCGTTATGTGAAAGAAGATCTTACATGTTATATAAAGGAAATTAAACAGTATGGTTTCGATCATATCATTATCATTGGGGAACGTTATTGTGGAATGCTTTTTCTGGACTGCTATGGTCGTGTATTTGATTTGGATTCTATGATGAATGTATTATGGTTTCTTGGAAATTATTTCGAAATAATGTCAAAGGAATCCGAGACTGGCCGGGTGGCATGGGATGTATTGGATGATGGAAATATATTTGAGATCGATAAATGTATGTGTATGTATTTTTACTCATATCTTACCTTAATTTTTTATAACTATTTTCTTTTCTTTCAGATTTACCAGAAAAACACAACACTCACCCAATTGTGAAGGAGAACAAGAAAAAAGATAAAAATAAAAAAAAGCGTCATTGATTTGATTGCATTTATTGCACTACAATCTCGGTGAATAATTAGTATACACATATTACAAATTGATAATTATGTTCTGCGTTATTTTGCTCATAATAATTTATCCTATAGTAATGTATTTTGAATCTAATCCATCAAGCTAATAAAATTTCGGGTTTCTATTTTTTAACTTTGTTTTGCTTATATACGGTGTGATGTGAGGTGTGCATCGGAAAATAAAATAGAGACCATGTGTATGCATGTAATTGGCGTTACAAAAAAATAATGCGCGAATTTTTTTGGAAAGACATTTTCCATTACGTTTTTTAGCAGTTATTTGAGCATCACTTAAAGAAAACTTTTTCATTATAATAGATTGTTACTTTTAATATAGGTTATTTTTTTAATATAAAATCACAGGTTGGATTAGTGTTGCGGGCGAAATCCATTTCCAAAATCCGAAAGGCGAAACCGAAATTCTCCCAAAGGCGAAATAAATCCGAA